TTAAGGACACCGGTTTTATAGAGTTGTCAAATGGCCCCAGGAACGGCCAGTCAAAACATCAAAATTCACTCGCAATTGGCCAAGGGCAACACCCCAACAAAAACGGAACGTTAGTGTTCCGGCAGAGTTGGGGGTTTTGTTTGAAAGCGAAAGGCCATAATAGTTGCATGCCACATTCAAAGCGAAAGTTGAGCTTCATTTTTGGGGTCGCCACAGCGAGTCAAACATGCAAACACGCACGGGCCTGGGCAGGGGCAGGGGCATGGGCACAGGTACAGGCTTCGGCCAAGGCAAGGTGAGGTCCTTGTCATTTAACTCGCTTGTCAAGTTGACCTTTGTTTTGTTGTCGTGTGCCACACAACATCTAAGGCCCAACTGCCACGCCTTGAGCTTGAGCCATAGCAACTTGTACTTCGTTACCCATGCATATCCCCTCAAACCCTCTCCAACTCCCCACTCCCAGTTGGTGCCGAAAACAACCTTCGGTACCCCGATCACCCGTCGCAAATGGGGTGGCGGCATGTGCATGTTTGATGAGCTTATCAAGGCTCCAGGATTATTGAATATTTTCGAATCGATAGCGCCGGGCTAATTTCCGGCATACACAATTAGTTGGCAACTAAATGGCAAACCTGACTGAATAAATCATTGCCAATGCTCCATCCAATTTAGTTTGACAGACAGCCAACTCAACTCATGGCTCTCAGCAATCTAAACGATTCTGTGGTCAAAACCAAATCATTTGCATAGGCCAAATGTTAAAGCCAAATGCAACTGACACCACTAGATATTTCAAATTCATCAACTGGGGAAATCAATTACTCAAACAGCAGTATTTATATATGCATGTGGAATGTTGAAATGCACTTGTCTGGAAAATTGTCAGAAAAAAGTAAAATCCAAAGGACTTAATCCTTTACGATTGTGTTGAAAAGGTCATAGGTTATGCCAGTTGTTTGCAAAGCAGCAAAAGTGCATGTGAAGTCACAGTTTTCAATTGATTTGGAAGTGTAATAGATATATTGTTTTGAATATCATAGACAAATACTAATTAGTAGGGATTTTATTATGAATGGAGTAGGTAGTATTAAATTCTATTTAGAGATAGCTCATATATGTCAATTATAATGTATACTTTTGCGATGTTATAGATGCAATTACCTTTTACTAAATAGTTAAAAACCGATAAAGTCAGAGATTTAACTATTCTTCTTACAAGTCAACTGACTGATTTCTACAAATAGTTGGAGCCTCTTAAAAGACATAACAGAAAGATACGTGAGATCTTCCTGTCAAGCTTTTTTTCTGATCGACAAAATTAGAGCAGAAACTGAGGAAACAGTTTTTAATTTGACACTCTGTTCGTCTTTATCGTTCGAATAAATTACAGGAATAAATAAGTGCATCTAATATTAAATATGAATAATTAATATTAATATTATTCCAGCTATTAATCGAAAAATCGAATCGAAAAATCGACCCAACTTAGCAATAATTGACAAAGACTCGGTATAAAAATCACCTTGGGGGTAAGAAGGAACATTCAAGTAATTGTCAGTCCCTTACTTATATGGCAATATTAAAATAAGTTTACAACAAAAAAATAAGGAACCTTAACCTTTTCTGAGTGTGTACGACAACTGTAATTGCTGCTACCACTCGTGCTTTTAAGGGGCAGAGTTCAAGTTTCTCTTTGGCTACAAGAGCACCACAAAATTCACCAAGCGATGAGCTGCAGCTCATCAACTTCACATCCTTTCAATGGCCCTCCCCCCTGCTAAGTCCTTGGGCACATACATTCATATGTACATATCTACATTTGTATGCACAAATATGTATGGAACGCTTTTTTACCCTTGTCTTCTCATTTCTTTTACCTTCTTTTCGGCTTTGTGTTAAATTGTTGCGTTAACCAAGCCAACCCCGCTCCAGGGACAATCCTTGTAAAAAGTTTAGCATAGCAGAAGGCCCCCACAGACACGGACACAGATACAGATACAGACACAGGCACACAGAGGCGGACTCTCGGCACCAGGACCGTCGTCGTATGCCTGGCATGCGTTTTTCACATTGTTTCATGCGGTTGAATAAACACACACCGCACACACACACACACACACACAACCATATTCAGGGGCACGCATACATACAAATACATGCATTTTATGATCTACAGAGAAAGGATGTGAAAGAGACAGAGAGAGTAAGAGCAAGAAAGAGAGACAGGCACTTATTCGCTCGCTTGCCTCGACAGGCTTACAAAACAAACATTGCGGCATGTTTTCGGTTGGTACACACTGCGTATACGTACTGTAAGGCCGCACATTTCCTACCTGCGTTTTGTCAGTGCCCAGCATCAACACCTGCACGCACACAGTGACACAAGTCCTTCCACACGGACACATTGCAGTCACGTATGCACATTACTCAACTCAACCTGTCCCGGGCATTTTCCCCTTAACCCTTGCGCTGGATGGATCTTTTTTATTATTTTTTAATGTCTCCCCGTTCGCCAAATATTATTTTCACATCGAAGCGGCTTTTTCAGGCATATCAATTATTCGGATTAAAAAATAAAAGCCTTTGGTACAAAAAATATGAAGAAAATACACCAATATGATCGACTGTAAAATACCCAGTACGCAGATACAGTCCTTAATTTCTACAGTCTTGAGTGCCAGAGATCTATCTCCGAAAATCTTTAAAACAAGAAAGAAAGCTATTTGTTTATGCTATAGCTTTGGCGTTTTAGTTTGATGTAAAAATTCACGAGCTATTAATTAAGACTACTGAAAGATTTAGTTAATAAATCCTTATTTCTACAAATAGTCATTATAAATCGTATCTTCCGATATATATAAAATTAATACAGTTATTATATTATATTTTAAGAAAAGTTCAAATTAGTTTAAAATTTGTGTTTAAAAAATGTTGTAACTATTTTTCTTCAAACTCTCCTATATATATTCTCCAACGGCAGATCTATGATAAAGTTACTCGATTTTGACAAGTTCTTAAATTTGATTTTTAAACCGTGCTAAAAATAATTTTATTTCGAGTTTTACTTAATGAAATATTAAAAAGAAAAATCGGCAAGGCTATAAAAAACAACAAGAGATTTCAATTTTCACTTTAATTTCTTTATTTATTTACCGATCGTTTTTACTACAGCTATATGATATTGTTATCCAATCTGGCAAGTTGCGATCTATATAATATCGTAACTGAATAGAAGAATATTTAAAAAGTTTCATTTAATTAGTAACTTCCACATTTATCATTTCATTGTGCTCAAATTTTAGGAACATATTCTCCCATTTGCTATCTATATATATTCGTGGCTGTCTGCTAAATCAAAGATCAATTAAAAAGTAATTTATTCACCTACAAAAGACACCCAGATAATGTGTTGAGATATGTGTTTCCTACTTACCACCCCTTACAACAAAAGATACAAGATACAAAATACATTTCACACATTTGCTTAAACTGGGAGTATGTTTCAGTATTTAAATTGCAGTAGCGTGAATACTTAAAATGTTAATTTGCCTCTAGGTGGGGGTGTTAAATGACCATTTCCCAATATTTGGGTTAAAAGTGAACTAATTTACATAGACCGCATGGTACAATGCGCAGGCGGCCGCACAGAGAAGGTAACAAAAAGATTCATTAGGGCCAATCAGTGCAAAGCGAGTCGTGGCGAAGGACATGCGGAGAGGACCTGGCCAAAAGCGGTGGCCTGGTAGTTGAAAGAGAGGCAGTGAGAGAGAGAGAGAACGCAGGCAGGCAGGCAGGTTGGGGTTTATACAGGACAAACCGTGTGTGTAAACGTAAACAGCTCGTGCAGCCGTAGCCCTGGCTCCGTTGTTTGCCTTATAAATACGCACGCTCTACTTTAAACAAAGCGGACCCACCCAACCGTCCACCTATCCGACCGCCCGACAATCCAGGATACCTACCCGTCCGCCCACACACGTACACGTGCCTGCCTCTCTTATTGTAAACAATTTTGTGTGCGTCAGTATGTGCAAAACAAATTTAAACTTTACACCCAAAGTTGATTTTTATGAGCAAAACTTTAAATAATGAAATTATCTGACAAGAACTTGGGGAAAGTGGCCAGAGAGTCTCAAGGAAAAGGCTGCCAAAGAGCGAGGGAATTGGAAATGGTTGGGGTTGGTAGGAGAATGGGAATGAGGTTGGTGCTTTGGGTTGGGGATGGAGAACCGATAATGAAAGGGAGAACCAACTGATTGCCGCAATATAAAAGTTTGCATTCGGCTCGAAAGCAATCAATGGCGTAATTTATGCCAGCGCCCTCCTGACAATCGACGAACCAGGCACCAATCCACCTGAACCGGGCCACCACCCCTACGCGGGTTCCATTATCAAATATTTATTTACACTTGAGCTACAATAATTCATTGATGCATCGAACGCCTGGCACGACACGCTTTCGCTGGGGACTGTATGGGGTCGCTCGCTTTGGGCCAGGCCAGAACCGAACTGAACGCTGGGAAACAGGTTAGGTCGCTGCCAAGCACGACCCGGCAACGTAAACGTCAGGACTAACCTTTGCCCGATGTCCTTCAAAGGCGCCGTCGCTGTGAAAGCAACAGCTGTGCGCTCTCTCCATTGCCGCGATTCAGCCCCCGATATGTGTTTAGCTTTCTTCGATATATCCTTTCCAGTTTCGAACACGGCTCTCACAAGGAATGTCGAAAGCTTTCTTATCAAAGCTTCCCCGAAAGATGCTTGAGCGAGGGTACTTCCCAGTTTTCGGAAAATGTTGGGGTTTCCCCAAAATTATGTGATTAACCCGCCAATCTCCGAACTTTTGAAAATTTCGTTAAGTTGTTTCAAACTAGAGTTCAAAAGCATATTTCAAATAATTTTTCTTTTCCATTCTTCCAATCCTAAATAAAACAAGTTAATTCGAGTATATAATATTGAACAAATATATTACCGCAAATTTACATTTTGAACACATTGTAAAAAAATGAATTGCAAAAGCTTTTAAAATCCCTATTATTGTTAAGTTGTATCTTACAAACTAAATTGTATAACATGCAATCTATTGGGCTTAGGAATACAATCATCTGTTCATCCTTTCGAGTTTAAATCTCTTAAATAGTGGTGCAAAGGTGTAAAAGAAAAACTAAAATTTTGGCATAGATCACTATTCAGTCGTCGAACTCAAACAACGGTTTACCATTGGTATCCCAGGTGTTTTTACATTTCTTGAAGGCACAAACCAAATAAAGAGCTAAAATAAATCACTCATTAAGAAGGGAAATAAGAATATAATTGTTAACGACTTACTTGTAGCTTCCCATTCTGATTTGGAGAGTGTTCCCAATGGACGGCCACGCTGGGACCCCTGAAAGTTGCGCACATGGGCAAATTGTTCGTCATCGGCACAACGCTGGGCTTGAACCGTCTCTAAGCCAGACATCCGCTGCAGTAGTTGTCGACCATGGGGCAGAGTCTCCTTATAATAATCCGCGAAAGTTGAGCGCCGCAACAGCTGCAAGCCGTACTTCCTGCCCAACTTGACCAGAGTGGGGAAATGCACCAGAAACTCGGGACAATCGACGACACCCTCCAGGTGAAACTGATACTTTGCTCCAAATATGGGAAGGGGATCTGTTGCGCAGTCAAACTCAATGTTGTACACATCGTTGCCAAAGCCACGGGCATCAGGGCCGGCTGCCTTCAACCGACGAATGATCTCATAGGCATCCGGAATGGTGGCTATGAAGTAGCCGCCCGGCTTGAGGCACTCGGCCGCATTGCGCATCATGCAATCCGCCTGGGCTAGTGACTCGAAGCAGTAATGGAAGGCGAACTGACAAGACACAAGATTTAGATGCAGCGAGGGATCCTTGTAGCGTTCGCGGAGTCGCACCAAGGTAGAGTCACAGGCAAAGAACTCGGCCGTAAACTTGTTGGCGAACTTGGACTTTTCAGCGCGGTGCAGGATGTCCTGGTAACGTCGCTGGCACTGCTCCACGGACACCTCGGCGATATCAGTGCAGATGAGATGCGAAATGGCGGCCTTCTCCCACTTAAGGAGATCTCCGCCCTTGCCGCAGCACATGTCCAGCACCCTGAGAGCGTCGCCCACTCGCATCTGCTGCTTCAGCTGCGACATGTACTCGTTGATCAGCTGGCTCTTGATCCAGTTGTTGAAGTTCCGCATGAAGAATATCTTCGACTTCTGCCGGTCCTTGCGTCCAGCTTCCTTTAACTCGTTGTAGTGGTTGGCCACCACATGTGTGTTGGCCGCTCCACCCGCGGCTCCGTCCTCCTCTTCCGTTTCGATTTTAGACGCGACGCCACCGTCATCCGTGCTGCGAGCTTTTTTGGCGGCCGGCTCCTCGTCCAACTCCTGGCCGGGATCGTCTGTGGATGGCTTCGGGGCGGGCGGTAATGAGGTATCTGCACTTTCACTCTCATCGTCCGACAGGCTGACCTCCTTGTGCGTCCTTGCGAATTGCTCGTCTGCAACATTTTGTTCGTAATTAAGGCTCATAATTCGCTAAATATTTAATTCCGGTGATGTGAAACGAGGCCTAGTGGGGTTATCGGTCTATCGCAGTTATCGGATTAGCTAGTGAAGGGACTTTGCAAGTTCCAAATAATTATAAAGAACTAAAAGCTAATTCATTTTGCAAACTATTTAATTTAAAGTTTTCAAAAATATATAGAAAAAACAAAATATTGCAAAATATAGACTTCAGAAGGCAAAGTCCCCTAACATAAAACATAATATAAATGTCCATCACTATCGATATTTAACAAATCAGCTGTTTACTCATCTCATGCGGTGGCAAAGAAAGCTTCAAGATTTGAAGTTCAAATGCGTTTGATTGGATTTCTTAATAAATTTGGCGCAATATTGAATCGTAGCTCTGCTGACAGACATCTAATCAAAAGAAGCATGGCCTGTAGCAGATTTGAGTACGTAAAAACCTACGAACAGGACGACAGTATACTGCCAAACGTGTGGATAGTAATTCGCATCGATGGCAAGAAGTTTCACAAGTTCTCCAAAACACACGACTTTGACAAGCCGAACGACGAGAATGGTAAGAATACCTTCTAAATAGATAACAACAATGTAATTCTACATCTCTCTATTGCAGCATTGAATGTGATGAACGCAGCCGCCACGGCCGTGATGGGAGAGTTCCGGGATATTGTCCTGGCCTATGGGCAGAGCGATGAATACTCGTTTGTATTTCGAAAGGAGACGGCTGCCTTTAAACGACGTTCTGCCAAGCTGCTTACCTATGTCACCAGCCTCTTCTCCACGAGCTACGTGATGCAGTGGTCCAACTGGATGAATCAGCCTCTCGCTTACGCCCCCTGCTTCGACGGGCGGGTGGTCCTATATCCGTCCGACGAGAATCTAAGGGACTATCTAAGTTGGCGGCAGGCGGATGTGCATGTGAACAATCTCTATAATACGGCCTTTTGGAAGCTGGTCCTGGAGAAGGGTCTGACGAATCAAGAGGCAGAGGCAAAATTGCGAGGCACTTTCTCCGCGGACAAAAATGAGCTGCTCTTCCAGGAGTTTGGCATTAACTACAATAATCTGCCGGCCATGTACCGAAAGGGAACGATTCTGCTGAGAAAACGCGTCACTGTAAATGAAAAGGCGAGGCAGGCCATTGTGCCCTTGCACGAGGATCTGATTTCTTCACAGTTCTGGAAAGAGCACACCGAAATTTTGGGCAAATATGTGCCAGGAACCTACAATTCGTCCCAGCCCCTGCACAGATTGGTGCACCTACAAATAGATGATAAGATGGCGGAGGTCAAGAAGCTATCGGAGAGTGTAGAAGAGAGTTGTTAGTACCTTAGTTGATAGTACTTATGGCAATATATTTTGTAAGCTTAAAGTTACACATTAGGTGTATTGAAGAAATCATTTACTAGTAGTCGTCGTCGTCCTCGTCCTCATCATCTTCGCTGGGCTTGCTGGCGATGGAGCCATCGGCCTGCGGCTGCCGCTGCACCATGGCAGCAGCCTGCATGCTCACCCACTGTTGTTGCTCTTCGCGCGCCTGTTCCTCGCGTGCCTTGGCGAACAGTTCTTGTTGCTGGCGCAGCAGCTCCTCCTCCGGAATGCCCAGATTCTCCAAACGTGTGCTCTGTCGTCGCCGCTTGGCTGCTACCTCTTTGCAGTCGTGAAGAACGGCCTCCGCCTCCTGCTTGTAGTCGTGGAATCCCAACCGCTCCAGCGCCTCCAGGACGTGCTCTGCATTGATTGTCTTTTTGTTGCGCATATTGCACACCTCGTTGGCCTCGGAGCTGATAAGGTGGATGAACTCGGAGCAGCAGTTCAGGATCAGCTCGCGACTCTCGTTGGCCACCCGTACCGTGGGCACCAGCTCCTTGATTATTTTGTTGATGCTGGCGCGCGGAAGGGTCAGCTCGTCGTCCTCGGCGCTGGGCGGCAGCAGTTCCTCCTGCGGATTCGACATGGTGGCGGCGTAAAAGTAAACAAAAACAAATACAGAGCTGGAGGTTTGTTTTTTTTTTTTTTCGCTCGGCTGTCTTCGGTTTGCTTCAGTGTGGCCGTAGCAACATACTATTTCTTGTTTCGAGGTATTGTTTCCTTTATCGTCTGCGGTCCCACTGGCAAACAGAAAACAAGTTTTTATTTTGATCTTAAAAAATTCTTAATAATGGGCGACTATGACTCTGATGATGAGAAATCACAGGTGGAGAAGCTGCGGTACGCCAAGGTGCCTCGCGGAATGTTCGTCAGCGGCTGGGACGACGATGCCGACGAATTAATTGAGGAGGACAAGAATCCGCAGTGTAAGAAACTAGTCTTGATTCGTCGGTGTTTTCTTTAAAACTATGTTTTTTGCACCTTATCTATCTTCCAGCTAGCATCGAGCGCATGATCCTGTGGGCCGTCAGCGAGAATCGGCTAAGCGAGGTGCGTGAGATTCTTCGTTTGGATGCGGACACTGTTAATGCCCGGGACAACGATGGATACACGCCGCTGCACCGTGCTGCCTACAACAATTTCGTGGATATGGCAAAGCTCCTGCTGCAGTACCGAGCCAATCCCAATGCTCGCACGGAACTGGGCTGGACACCCCTCCATTCCGCCTGCAAGTGGAACAACGCGGACTGTGCCCACTTGCTGCTACAGTTCGGTGCCGATGTGAATGCCGAGTCGGATGGGCAACAGACGCCGCTGCACATAACTGCCACCGTTTCGAATTGCCGTAACACCGCTACCGTACTGCTGCTGGACCGGAATGTGAAGGCCCGCAAGGAGAACAACTCGGAGGAGCTGGCCTCGGTCATAGCACGTCGCACAGGTATGAGCTTTCCCATCTTTGAGTGCGGCGAAGAGGCGTATGACTGTGACACGGGACTGATAGAATAACTGAAACAGCCATAAATGTGCATACTTATAGAATATAAACCTTTGATTATTTTATAAATAAGGTTTAATTTATTAATAATTAGTTAATCAGCTGGCTGCTGCCGGCGTGCGCACAAAATGCTCGTAGAAAGACTTTGTGTAGTTGACCATCTCATCCTGCATGGCGGCGGGCACAAAGTACGGATTTCCCTGGGCGCCCTCGATGGTTCCCTTGACCGTGTAACGCATGTAACTGGCCACAGTCGTCTCTGGGGGTAGCACAGCGCCGTCCTCAATCACACAGCAGTCTTTCAGTATGCACCGACGGCCCTGGAAGTGAAAGTTCCTTGTTATTTCCTGAGATTTAAACTGGGATGTCGAAAAACTTACAATAATGGCATTCTTCCCAATGTACACACAGGATCCTATGGAGGCTGCTGAGACGACAGCGCCCTCGCCGATAAAGACATGGTCGCCAATGTGCATCGGAAAGAAGGCTATGCCCTTGCTGAATTGTTTGTACGGAGGACGGATTACTGAGTCCTTGCCAATTACACAGTATCTACCGGCCCGCACGTTAGCCAGGTCTCCGCGAATTATAGCGCCGCTCTGGACGATCACCTTGCCATTAAGCACAATATTCTGGGAGCCACATAAAACCGTGTGACGACTCACTTTGTTTCCAGAGGCCTGTAAAAAAGCATAAACAATTTTTGGGCATGATGAGGTCATCCAGTCTTTTGGAGCTTTTAAATTATCAAGGCAATAGTTTCTCCAATACTTACAGTCTCCACATATTCATCTTTACTGTAAAATGTGTCTGGTATTTCCATTGTTAAGCTTTTGTTGGAAATATTAATTTTTTAAAACATCTCCCCAATTGTAAGAAATTATCCAGCTGATTAGTGTGACCACGGCAAAATAGTGTTAAAAGCGCGATATAGTTGTGAGCAGATTTTTCCCTTCACAGCACCTGGTAACACTACAAAAGCGGTGTGGAACGTTAAAAAATGGAACACGGAAAAGGTTTTTATTTTTGTATTTGATTAGTTAAAAAGCATTTATACCAAATAAGAATGTTCCTACACGAAAAGAATTTAACTTACGACAGAATTAACCAACGCAGGTATTTTAATTATTCAGTGAAAATAATCATGCTAAATATACTAGAAAATTAAATGGCAGCGCTTTTGATATTTATCAACACTGACAAATAAATCGATTGTTATCGCTTATTGACTGGTAGCCGCGCAATTTAAATTCAAATTTCTCGTCAAGTTCGTCGAATTGAAAAAACACATTAAATATCCATTGGCAAAAGCACATAAGGTTTTAACTAATTTCCTTCATTAATTAGTTGCACGCGAGCTCTGACTAATTACAATTAACCATCTTCGCGGGTGCATGAAAAGCGCAGGTGTTTACTGATGGAATGACCCTGAACTTTGCACTATACGTATTCAAGTATGTAACAATCACGATGCAGAGTAGACAGATGCCGCTTCACAGATTTGCTAGGAAAATAACGTGCAGAACTTGGCTCACAACTAATGCGGCAAAAGCGCAGCCAAACTCAACCCCCAACCATAGGCGCAGTGGGTAACCTTCCGAAAACTTCAACTTCCCGCTGTCCGGCGCGCTTCGACGATGTTCCAATTAATGCTCTTTAATAATCGCAACCCAGCCCGCGGCTAACCTTCAAGGTGCACGCTCGAATGCTCTCACGAGGCGTCGGTAACTCTGCTAAATTATAGCATTGTAGTAGAATTTGAATTTGTTTTGGTGCTTGCCCATTTGTATTTTGATACTCATGCTTATATAGTCATTTCAAAAGATATGGAAATTTTGTGGTATATATTTCGATATTATGATCAAGAACTTTAAATTTCCCGTGTGTTACCTTCGTATTTGATCTTTGTCATTAATATTTCTCTTTGCCCATTAAATTCTAACAATTGTGCCAGTTTATTGGCTGCTTTGAAGAATCCGCCAAGAGAAAAAAAAAATAATCATTTGACCTTCGCTATGAAAAATCTATTAATTTGTTATTGTTTGCACTTTTGAACTAAAGGTTAATAAACTTGAACTTGAATAATGTTTGGAAATTAATTGAGTTGTGCACACAAACCACTCTCAAATGACTTGATCAAACAATTTATTCGAATTTGTTTAATTTTCGTTCTTTAATTATGTTTATTATTGTTCAGTGTTTTATTTACTTGTTTCTTAAAGGGGTGCTAAATGTGAAAAGTTGATTATGTAGTTGGCAGAAGTTAAAAAGTAATTAAATGTGTTTTTTGAAAAAATTTTAAGAAATAAGATTATCTGAAAAGTTGTTGATTTAATTTTGTTGTTACAAATCTACATTTTTTAATGTATAAGAATGATTAAGATGGCAGGCATCTTAACAAGATTTCACTTAATATTTTTATGACAATAACTTCCCTTTCATTTTCCTTTAAAATGATTTTAGAATATATCCTTTTTTAATTATTATCTAAATAATAATTCCTTTGTTTTAGCCCTGAATATACCTTTAAAATATTTGATATTGTTTTAAATACAAATACTTGTTTTTATTTTTTTCTTGGTCATGTAAATTCATTTTCCCCCACCAAAATATACAAGGTCATAAAATTCTTGAATCCAAAGAATGTGTGGCCAAGTGCCTGCCTTGCAATAAAACAACACCGTTCGATACAACTCTTCTGCCACAATTTGACCTTGATGGGGAGAGACGGGGCCCCGGGCCATGTAAATATTTACAATAGCCAACTCATCCAGGGCCTTGATAAATGGTTGTTCGTGGCGGCCGCTTTGGAAACTCATCATTAAATGGCCAGGTCAGGCAATCAAGATCAAGAAACATAAATGTTGAATATCCGCCACGACCCTTCCTCCATCGAACTTGATCTTGATGCGTGTTCGTTGATGCTTTATGGCTTCAACACATATTTAATAAATGGAAATGGAAATTGAATTAAAACTGAAACAATGCCAGTGCTATCCAGTTCCAGTCCGAGTCATGTCATGTTTAATTGAATAATTGCTAATAGTTTACATATACTATCGTAACTATATATGTATATAAATATGGCCAAGAACAGCAATGTTATAATAATGCAACAATGAAGGAGAAACGACAAATGAAATTAATTGCCATAACTAAAGTTGAGAAAATTATTTAACCCGCTTTATTGTGTTCAGGGTGAGGCGTGGAAAGAGAAGGTTGCATCTTAATTTCACTTTTTATGTCGCTCAACCGAAGCAAGTTTTTTGCTCAAGTCTTTTGTTTTAATCGATCAAATGTATCTGATAAATACATGTTTATGTGTATGTCTATGTTTGTATGTATTTACTGATGCTCTGAGTGACAGAACAAAGGTGACTTACAAATAAGGGGGCCATGGCACACGATGCATCGTTCTCGGAATCTGAGTATTATTCGAATGACTAAAGGATACTTTGGGTATTTTGATTATTACTTTTAATAAAATCACTTGTTTAGAAATAAAAGATATTTACAAGTAGAAAAACGTGTAAATATTAAGAAATATATTAAGCTGTAGTTAGATTTTACTATACAGTCAATGAATGAACATTAGAAAAGTTGTAGTTCGATAATTATGAAAAGATATTTTATAGATTTAACGTCTAAACCAAATAAAGAACTTATTTCACTTAAAAATAATATTTTTTCTGAGGTATGTGTGAGTATATTTCCTGAGTGAGACGGATAGCGAAAGATTTTATTTATTTATATAACATAAGAAGCGATTTTAAGTATGTTCAATATTATTTACTAAGCTGAACAATTAATAATTATATCATATCCTATCTCCTGCTCTGGTTATGAGTTTGCAGAGTTTCATAAATATATCAAATCTTGAAATCAAATGCATAAATATTATATAATTTTATATTATTATAAATATTACACAATTTAACATAATATTCTTTGGGTAAAACCTAAACTAAGCACTATAAACGAAGTCCCTAGAATTATGATCTCTCTTCAAAATGCCAAAACTCTTTGAATCTCTACGGTTTTGACTAATTACAGTCATTACAATACAATATGGCGACCAAATGGCTTCCTCATGTCAAGAGACCAGTGCGAAACGAGTAGTCTGTGATTACCTATGGAGTTAGAGCGACTCGCGCACTGTGTGAGCTCAGTTCAAAAGCCGGGTTCAAGTACGAACTAACGATTGTTCGAGACAATGAATGACAGTAGCTGCCCGGCGGTTTGAGCTCCAAGTGCGCCATGCAAATGCCAAAGAAAATTGTGTGAAATGTGCAAAATAAATGCGCTTTGGATTTTGCCGAATATTTATAATAATAATTCTATATATTATGCCTAAAATGGGCGTGGCACTTTGCTTAATATCTGGTTCCCCTCAAGCAACCTTAGGCCGAAGCTGTGCTAATTAAAACATTAAGTTTGCCCCGAGGCTAAGTTTGCATTAAAAATCGTTTGTTTATATATTTCTAGCTGTTTTTTTCGCCCCATGGTACACGAAAAAAATATATCGAAAACCAGTAGAGGGTTAGCTGTCAAAATCAGAGAGAAAAAAAAACAGCAAACGCACGACAACGGCAGCAAAACTATATCGCTGACAGCAGACACCTACAGTGCGGGATATTTATATATGCGATTTATTTGCAGCAAATCCCCTTTGATGGAGGAGGTAAAAATAAAGAAGTTATAATGCAAAGAACCTTTTAAAATATGCATTTTCCTTTTTATTTGATAGCATATTAATGAATTTGTGAAATAAAATACTCTTATAAGAGATCTATATATGAATACAATTTAAACAAAAATGCAGCTATTGAAATATAGCAAATATTGAATTGCAAGTAATACTTCTATTTCAATTCGTGGTAATGGTAACTACTTTTTACTGAGCTTGTTAATATAAGATTAAATTTAAAAGAAATGGGAATATTACTTCCAATGTATGTTGCTTTAAATTGGAATTTAATTGAACATAGTGATGCTCTGAAATTTTTATAATAAATAAAAAAAAAGTATCGAACCCTTCCTAAGTAGAATTAAGTTTAGATTTATTTATTTCTACTGGAAAATAAATATTGTTTCCTATTTAAAAATCATAGTTTCAAAGACATTTTGAAAAATACAATTTTAAGAAATAACAGTTTCTGATATGTTTTGGAATTTATAAATAACATGATATTTCAACGTTAAATTTGTTATTTATTGATGTCTTTAACTTTACATTCGATATTTTTCAATTTTTAAAAATGCAAACTTAACGATTTATTAAAGATGATATTGATATGTACATTTAAAATTATTTTTTGTGCGATATATATATTAATATATAATTTCGAACTTTTTCATATATAATTTTATAATATTTTTGCAAATTATCCTAAATCCTAAATCAACATTCCGCGCTGTATGCATTTGTCGAAAGCTTATTTGCTTACTGCTCAAGCATTGTTCCTATTTTGATTGCTCTATTGAGCTCCATACTTTTTTCCATACAGGCGCTAATAGGTTTGAACCTGAGTAGATCTACAAGACAAAAAAAATAAAACACAAAAATGCAAAATCAATTTTCAACTTTGTATGCCATGGGCAAGGCTATCGAGACACGAGCTACCGGCCCAAATAGATCTGATCTAATATTTGGCATTATTTATTATGGCTTTGTTGTGACTTAACTTGTTTTCACATCCTTTTAAATTCCGATATTCGATCGGTATCAGTTTCTAAGCCCTTCAACCTACTTAGCAACATCTACAACTGATTAAGCCTCTTGTATCTGTCAGTTGATTGAACTTTTAAGGTTTTCTAACCAACTCTTGGAGACTCAGTATCAAAACTATTTGGTTTCTTGCTGGGTGGCCCCTGTTGCTCGGTGGCAGATTGACAATGATTGTCAAGTCTTGCTGGGGCTTATTACGGAGCTATCCAACCAAGGTTTTTTTTGAAGCGAAGTGTGCCTCGGAAGTTGTTAGTGGGTGGAAGTAATTAAATTCGATTTTTTAGGCATTCGATAACTAAAAATGAGTGTGGCGGTCATGGGGGCTTTGTAATTACTTTATTGAGTATCTGTGAACAAGTAGTAGCAAGGACAGAGAGTCAGAATTCAAAACGATAAAGAAATCGATGTTTCTAAGTAAACATATTTAAGCTAAGCTTCAATAGATTCTAAAAAATGTTACTCATCTTATAATTATCCTTTTTAGACATCCATAAATATGTAAAGAATTAAGCTTGAGACTGTATAAAGAATAAGATGTGTAACACTATATGATTATATTGAGCTTGAGTCTATTTATAAGCCCAAATTTGAACTCAGTTTTAGTTACAGAGATCAGAAACCTATTTCCTTTTTTTATTCTTTCTTTTGACAGCTTGAAAACTTTGCTTATCCATCAAGGTTGGAGAACTGGCACCTAAACGCCAAACATCAACTAAAAACGCTCAACTATGTATAAACTGCCACAATTAGCCTCCAGAATCGCCCATGTTGTGTGCCGTGCCGCCTGTCACATCATCGTCATCGTCATCATCATCGTGCTTGTCAAGAAAACAAGCCACCGAAAAACAAAATAACAAAAATTATATTAAAATTAATTAAACAAAAAGTCAAGACAAGACTAATGTGAAAAACAATATAAAACACATTTGGCGCGTGCACTTGACCTTCCTTCTCGTTTGCGACCGGTCGAACCAAAAAAGGGGGAATTCGGGGCTGGCTATGCATGCCACGTAATTCGTTGTTAGCCACTGTTTCTGTTGGAATTTCAGATGTTGAACTTCATGTGTTTAATTTGTGCGTAACGTATTTGTGAGGCTGCCTTTATTTTTTTTATAGATTGTCGGTTTCGACATCAAGGCGAGTGAATGAATCGACTGAATTCAATTTCGGAGACTGACAGCCGGCTTACATCGCTTGAAATATACATACATTTGTGCAACTCAATTGCCAGTATGCGTCGTTTTTGTAATTGTAATTGGCATTCAGTGTGATTACTTCCTTATTTGTTTGGAGTAAAATTTTAACATCTCATGATTTGCATGGGAAAATATATTTGATCGTGAGGGAGTTACAATTGTGTTTTTGTTTGGGTTATTTTAAAATTAGCTTATGTAAATAATATATACAGAATTTGTTGACAAAAATATACACTCAATACATGAATTAATGTAAGTTACGTTGTTTAGAATATAAACAAACCTAAAGCTTACATCTGGAAAATATTTAGAATTTTTATTTCGATACAGATGGAGCATCTATTCTGTTGTAAATATACCATAAGAAAAAGTCTAATATCATGTACCGACAAAAATATTGCAAATATTGTAAAGGTTGCTATATTTAAATTTAATATATAGAACAATATAGCAAATATTATTAAAATATCCATGTTATCGAAAAATTTCTGAAGAATTTGCCTAATTTATTGTAAGTAAATTTAATATATTAGCGAATATCATTAATATATCAAACAGTATGATGTTAATATATTGATATAATCGAAAATAGTTCAAAGAATTTATTTAATTTCTTTCATTTATTTTACTAACTTCGGGTTTTTAAGAAAAGTTATCTGATTTAATTATGACTTTATCTTTTGCAGAAGTACTAGCCTTTTTAATAAAAAATCTGGCCAAGAATCTTAATATTTCTTGGGGTAAAAACACACAGTCAGATCTGTCTAGATCTAAGTGCCTGGTGATGTAGATCTGGAATTGAATTATAAAAAAAAGGTTTTAAACTAAACAGTTGCCACAACATAATATCTAAATGGGTAAGAAAACATCGGCTTCCTTTCTTAGGACTAGTTTTTGTTTTAATTCATGATAGTTGGTGGTTTCATTACAATCTCACTTAAATTACCATTTCATTTACAGACAGCAATCTCCCATCACCTAATTTAATGCAATCTCATTGCCCTGAATGGTTGAAAGACGACCTTGAACTTGAGGCAATTGCAAGGTACGAGAGCCGGCAAATCGCTTTTTTCCATTATAATTTTCCATTACGTTGCCCTTTCCCTTTTTTGTGTTTTTTATCTTTTTAAGGCTGTGCTGCCTGGTGCTTCTGTCGCTGACAGCTGGCAGTTGAGTTATGAATGCTTTTAGTGTGTGGAAGATCGCAGAAACTGAGTCAGTCGAGCAAGTTCGAATAGCAGCAATAAAATCAACTAAATCTGGTCTCGCGTGTTGTGAATTTCTGATACCGGACATGAATTTTTACCTTATTCAAGCGCAAATCCGTAAGATTCTTTGGCCAGGGACCAATGACCGTCCTCGACTACCTGTAGGGCATTCCATCTTTAGACCACCGGACATCCTTAAGTACAAGGTAATGTATATTTTTTCTGTTGACTATGAATTTGGTTTTCCGCTAAAGGGCATTTAAAGTTATTGATTCCAGAGTAGCTGCAGTCGTTGACCGCTGAGGCACGACCTTGTCTGGGGATTTTTCATTAAATTAAATTTGTAGTCACTGGTCCGGAATGTTGATAGAATTAAGATTTTCGATTTTTCTGGTTTGAGTCAGGCCCTCAAGGTGTTAGGTTTTGCATATAAATATTGCTAGAACAAAAGACTTAGGCAACGAACTTGGGGTGAGTAAGCAAACTGAACGAATTTACTAAGAGAACAGTTAAGTCAGTAAATATATCTTAGTTTTATTTCACATTTCAATGGATTTTAGTATATAAAATTACTAACTTCTACCTGAAAAATTCCCTGATTTCTGCAAAAGTACAAAGATATCAATTTTAGTTCGTTAAACATCAATTAAACTTACTGGCTTGTGTGTTTTATGGCTAATTTGGCACATCATAAAAGATTTTATGCGAATTTTAACACAGAGCAACAGAAAAGCATTTAATTTTTTTCGTTTTGCTCAACCGATTTGGCAACTGTCAAGATTTACGAGACGAAATCACAACCTGAATGGATGGACTGGACATAAAGAGAGATCACGGAGGTTAACCTGGTGATTTGACTTGGCGATGGTGCATGGCACGGTAGTCGGTAGTAAAAATTCAATTAGCATATAAAATATTAATTACCAGACGGGTCTCGATGCTAATTCAATTAACATTATCAGCAGTTGCTTAGCTGCTTAATTTTTGCTTAATTTGTATTACTCGAGGGGGTTGTAGAGCAAAATGTTTTTGTTTATTGATAATGTGCTATTGTACAATTATTTTTACAAATATATTGTTATATTAATTTAGAGAAATCACTATATATATATGTTGTGAAAGTAATGGATTATCATTCAATCGAGGAGAGTTTGGTATCCAAAAGATGTTTAAATTATGGAAAGCATACAGAAATGTACTCGATTTTATAAAAATTTATAAGGATTATATATTTTATACTAAGTTTTTTACAACTGGATGGCATGTAACAGTTTTTTTAATTTATTCTACTATGTGCTAAGAAAATCGTGATAACATAAATTACAAACCAGAAAATACACTATTATCTTGTAACTTGACTCCTGGCCGGTATTTAATATATAGATATAAGTTAAATACTGAAATTTAAGTGGATATTATTCCAAAGACCTATTCTAAGGACAATACAATTTTGAAGTATACTTCCTTCCAAGTGAAATTATGTAATCAAGAAAAATACCATAAGAAAATAAAGTAAAATGAACTTAACCTCAGCCTTATTTTTGCTTGCTTTACATAGCAGGTGCTTTCATACTCTGGATCAATGATTGTAATAATTTATTTGCTAATTTTCTGATTAAAAGTCTGAGGCCGTTCTCAAGATGAACTAGTTGGCCGTTCGAAAGTAAGTTATAGTAGTATCAGACCCTGATCAGGAATAGCCCTCGTATATATTGTACATATGTATATTAAATTGTATGTGTGTGTGTGGCCCAAGTTCCCTTTCAAGTTTTTGTTCGCTGATTTTCTGACTGCTTCATAAATTCACACTCACTTAGGCTGCAATTAGCGGCAGTTCAAAAAAGCTTCCATTGCACAGTGGTCATCTTTTTGGAGTTTAGACTATAAACGTTATCTACACCTGTGATGTATATAAATTATATTTACCAGTGTTCTAGAATTTTATAAATTTTTAGATTAAACTTGAAAAGTTGTAAGTTAAGCACTGGTTAAATTATAAAAATTAAAACTGTATTGAGCTTTTTAGCTAATGACATTGATTGTTACTCTCCAATAAAAACATCACCTGCACAATATCAAGTTTACTAACCTATGATATGTTAAAATATTGTTATAAAAAATTTATTCAAATTCTATTATTTATTTCCCACATCCATTATTATCCATTCCACTGTGCATCGCACAGAGCTTTCGCTCTCGGCGATCTTTTGTTGAGCGCTCACCGCACAGCAGCGCTCAGTTCGCTAACGACGAGCTCTTGAAACGGACGCAGAAGTGGATGCCGCCGCCGCGCACGCGCAGCCAATAAATCGCAGCAACAACGAAGTGTGTTTTGTGTTTGTGTGCTTTTGTTTTGTGTTATGCCATGCACAACGCTTGGTCGTAAAAGCAGAGAAAACCAAAAAAATCGAAAACCCCAAACAAAATAAGTTTGCCGGATCGAAAAACCCACTTCTTATAATTTGAAAACGGTAAAACAACGTCGAAAAGATGGCTGACCATCTAAGTTACTTGTATTTATAAAACGGTTTTAAACCCAAACATAATGTGATGAAAATCGGCTATATAAAATATAATTAAAACAATTAAAGCAAAAACTAATTATTTGCAATAATCTTAAAATTAAAAAATACCACTTGGTTGCCATTAAATTTGGCAATTCAGGGGCTTACGTAAAAATAAGTGCGAAGGGCTGTGAATTTAAAGTTTTAAGTAATTTAAATAGCAAAGTTTCTGTGAAGTACAATACATGACCTCAAATAATTTCCGAATTGAATAATAACAGAAAATTAGACAAAGTCTCAGCAGTCCTATATTTAGCTAAGAGTTCAATATAATAGTTTTATTTAATTAAGTGAGATTATGCTTAGTTTTAATTATGTTGCTTAATTGTGATAGCTTTAATAGGTTTGGATTCAAACTTCTGACGCAGATCTGGAATATATAAGCTTTGTTACCAGAAAATTTGTTTATTTAACATGATTTTTCAGAGAGAATATTGACGAAAACAAAACAAAAAAAAAAAAAATTTTATATTTGAAATATTTATATAAAATCGAGGGCAACAGTTTCTATATTTAATTTATGTTCATAAATTAGTTTTTTTTACAAAGTCTCAAAGTGGCTCAAATCAATCAACATGGTTGCCAAAACTTAAAATGGAACAAATTCTATAAATAAACAATAATGAAGCAATTACAATTTGTTGAAGAACTTCTGAAGAGAGAGCCGCCTTGTTCGAGTGGGCGTGAGTGTCAGTGTAAGAGAGCAAGCGGGAAAAAAACGTGCACGTTTTGTTGGTAATTTCGTATGCACATTTTTACCGCTGCTCGCTTACTCAACACTTTGCTTTGTTTCTCCTCTCTTTTTTCCCACCCTGTACTTTTATCGCTTGCCCTTTGGCCGATGCATTCGTATGCGTGCTTGTGGGTGTGCATCAGGTTGATTTCTGTGATGCGTTTTAAGTCTGTGTTCATGCCACGGGATTACTTCATCTGCCGTTTCATTTCCTATATGGCATTGCCAGATGATTCAACGCCAAACTGACCAGCGCAAAAAATACACAAGCTAGCAGCAAAAAAAATCTAAAATAAAAAAAATTGCACGAAAAAGCCGGTTGAAGGCAACTCTTACATATTTACACGCACCAGCGCTCATTTAACACACGCTGCCACCACACCAACAATAACTACTACCACAACTACAATAAAAACAACACACATATAGCAACGAAAGCAAAAGCAACAAGGCGACACAAAAACCTGTCGCTGTTGTTGTTTTTCACCTTTTTTAAAAGACATTTGCAGAGGTTTCAGCTGCGTGTTGATTATGTCAATTTCATGTTTGCTTCATTTCCTCAAACGCAGTCAGGGAGAGAGAAAAGAGAAGAAACAAGAGAGTGAGATAACGGTAAGGAGAGCGAAGGTAAATTCACTTTCGTTGGACTTGAAAATAAAAGCTGCACCCAGCCAGGTATTCAGGCAAGGGGGGACTGGGGGCTCAGCTGAAAGCTCGGAATGAGAGCAAGTGAGAGTGAGAGTACGCACAGCAAGTGGGCTGCAGCTTGGATGCTGTTGGTGATGCTGCTGCCGTTACTGTTGCTGTGTCACTTGCTATTATGAACAGTGTGCTTAAGATATTTAAAATCTGTATCTCTATCTTTATAAAGATGCAGATAAACAAGTTATTTCGAAGCCATAACATATTCAAATATACTTTCGAACTCTAACCAATGTCACATTTGTTAGGTTTTTAATTCTTCCTGATATATTAGAAAAGGGGGAACACATAGTTAATCTTTAGCTCCCTGTTTTAATTTTGGGCTGAACCAATATTTTGTCCCAGACTGTTGAACCTTATCAAAACAATGCTGTAACCACTGTAACTTGGTAACTTGCGAAAATAAATCATGTGTGAAGATCGTTGTAACGACAAAATTAATACGATCAACGAGGGTGGCGACATCTTTTATAAAGCTGAAGAAATGGAATATTTCGTGATAGAAAACATAATTGTCTTTAACCAAAATCCATAATCTAAGATTACTGCAGTGTCTTATTTGTAGAACTTAAATCTAAAAAAAAATACTACATGCATTTACAGTTCGCACGCACATCATGTCATACCTGAAAATATGGGAGTTGCGTTGGGTTTTTGTGCTTTTTCAGTAATATTTGCTACCCATCACTGTTTTAGAATAATATAAATAAATATAAAATATTAAATACAGACTGATGAAATGGATGAATTAAGAATAGAGAAAATGTAAACTATCCCACAAACTGTTAATTATTATTATTTAAAGCTTAAAAATTGAAAATTTGAATGTGAATTTTTTATCATGTCTAGTGTAAGGGAGAGACAATACTAATATTAATATAAAACTGTCTCAGAATTTAAATAGATTTAAAATTATTAAAATTTGCCAATATATTTTACAGTATTTTAAAGCTTTCTTTATAATAATATGTCAATAATTTTTGAATAATTAAAAAATTCTTGCTTTGCATTTATTCTAGACATATTTATTTTGAAATAGGTATATTTAATACCATTAAAATTCACTTCGAATTTTGAGGCACCCGTATTTATTTTCTATTAAACTCTCTGTCTTAAAGCCCCACTGTCTGTCAGCCTCTATTGTTTTGCCGCGCCCGCTTTTCCGTATATATTAAATTTTGTTTTGTAACTGTAATGTCTGTTTTTCCCATTGTCCGGTTGTTGTTCCATTGTTGCTGTTGCGTCTGTATAGACTCAAAATGTACAGACATACACAAGTACTAGAGTAATGTGCTCAATGATTGCCACATGCAACGCCTTACGTTTTGGTGCCAAGTCCAGCGTTTTCAGTTTTTATTTTTTGCGGGCAAGTGCGCTAATAAAGCAACACGCGAGTCTCCGCGACCGAAACTCCCGGACGAAAAATATGCGAAGGTCAACCGGCAAAAAAAATAAAATAAATAAAAATAAAAATAAATGAAAACAAACCCGAGAACTCCCCCAAATGGATTTTCGAACCTTTACTACATGCATGCTGCTTGAATTCTTTTTTTTGTGCTGTCACTTTGGCAAAAATTCTAATTATAAATAAAACAATTTATTACCGGGTTTTGTAGAAATAAAATGCGATTTATGTGCAAAGTCTGACTAGTCAAACCGGTTCTAGAACGGGGGTGCGGCGAGTCTGTAACAGGAAAATGCAATTGCTAGAAAAAAACATTTTTCTGGCGTTTTAAGAATTGCTGCAAATATGTGTAGACATAAAAATAAATAAAAGAACGAGAACGATTTGTTTAAATTAGTTGTAAATACATGAAAATACTTTTAGTGATAAGAATACAATTTTTGATCATCTTATCACACAAAATGCCATTTGGTTTTAGTTACCTGAACCTTGAATATTATTTTACATTTTAATGTGAGAAATACAGTTTTATTTATTTTAAAATTTGAAAAGAGTTTAGGGAAAATATCAATACTTATAATGATTCTTCTTTTATTAAATGCAAAATGTTATATTCCTATTTATTTAAATAGTCAGTGAATAAGATTTAGTAATTAAACTTGAATGTGAACTATGGGTATCGAAGTATTTATAATTATTTTAATCAATGAACTCATCATTATCTAAATTAAAAATAAATTTTTATTCAGAAATTTGATATAAAAATTAGATGACAGCTAAATAATTTAGTGACTAACCCGTATACCAAAAGTAAATAACAGTTATTTTGAATGCCGGTTTTTTTCTTGACAAGTTTGGTAAGTGAACTTTAGAGCTTGATAAATGAGAACAAATGACAAATTGAATGTTTTACGATTGTTGTTGCTTGAAAAAGTCCGAAATAATTAACAAAAAAGCGGATGTAAAAAATGAAATAATTACGGAACTAGATAACTTCTTTAAAGCCCCCCCCCACGGCTATAATATGATCGACATGATCTCTTATTCTTCTGGCTCATTCTTTTCTGTGGGTTCGCTTACCTCTCAACTTTCACAAGCCAGAACTTGTGGTTTGTGGGAAATTCCAACTGGAATATAATGAGGGTGAGCTTAAAGTCAATAAAAGCAGAAAAAATCATACATCCGTGTGTAATACGTTGCGTATGCGCAATATCGTTATCCCATTGAGAGAGATATAACAAGTTTTTATTTAATTCGCAGCTTGAGGGGATTTAAGACCAATAAGACTAGGGATGTACCTTAAAAAATTAACAAAGTAATTTAATTTGGAAGATTTTTAAACCTAATAGCATTTTTAAACGATTTATTTATATTATTATATTGATTTTACCAAGAGTGCTATTTTTTGTAGCGGATCAATCAAATAAGTCTCGTTGCTAAGATCATCACTCAAATATTCATAAGCATATCGTTTGAGGTATTTAACAATTCGACACGATCGTGCTATTATTGTTTTCCACTTCTTCAATTTTATAGACACTTAATTATAACTTTTGCCTACGTCATTCCTTCAGAAGCAGAAGTCTGGCATCGAAGTGGCCGATGGTTTCTGGCTTTATTTTCAGTTGCCGCTTTGGTTTCTTAATTGTTCGGGCCCCTCACATGGCATCAGAAGATCTCGGCGTAGCGTTTTATTGTTAATTTGTTTGTCGTTGGATCCGGTTCTAGGTCTTATTTCTGGTTTGTTGAGCTTTTATTTTTTTTTGAGGTTCCACACCAAATTTTGTAGAGCATTCAAATTAAATTCCTTTGTTTCAGTTTCAGTTTCCTAAAGAACGTAATTCCACACACATTGTGTGGATTACTTGGCTATTTCAGATTTTACATTTCCTGGTGGCACACACGGACAACTCGAATGTACATTTATTTGCATATTTTGTTTACCAAATTAATTTTTGCTTTGAGCTGCCTGTCCTGTCACTTGACGCTGAAGTATCTGCTACCTAAAAGCTTAGTCACGAACTGCAGATACTCGGTATCTCCAAGATGCGAGATCCGATTTATCGGAGCTTTGCATGATTTTGCAATGCCAATCTTAATAATTGAGTGCTCTTTCCAAATTTCCACGCAGATGGATGTATCAATAAAATTAATTTTTTCATCGGTTTTGTTTGCTTTTTTATTACGATCATTTATTATTATTATTTTTGTTGTGTATTTTTTTGTAGATATCAAGCGCCTTCATCGGCTACAGAAACCAGCATGAAAGGCTGGTTTGACGCGTTTCGAGACGATGGGGGACCAACGCTATACTCTTTCTCAAATCGGACGCCCGTCACCGGGGATGTGTCTATAGTGGCCGTATCCGTATTATTTGCCACATTTTATGTGGCATTTTTGGTCATATTCCCCGGTGTACGAAAGCAGGTAATTGAATGAACATTATTTAATATATAATATTAATAATAATAGAATGATTTTATAAATAATCATAGTTATAGGGAGACTTAAACGTAATTTAAATGCCATGCAAAAGATAGAAAGGTTATATTTGAGATACAAATTCCAATTGATCTGTTTAATTGAATTGTATTAATTATTTCCACTTCTCCAACAAATGTCAGATTAAAGATACAAGCTAATGAGAGAGTTCTAAACAAACTCGTTTCAGGGGGTGCGCCTTGTTTTTTAATTGCATTTCAATTTAAATGAAAATCCCTTTCTCATTTACAGAAATTTACAACATTCTCGACAGTCACACTGAGTCTTTTCGTGGGCCTGGTCATACTAAGTGAGTAAAGTGACCTTCAAATCGAAGAATAATATATATACAATGTGGCTAAAACCTCGCGTTTCTTACCAACAGTTGCCCGTCTGGGATCCGCGTGGCATGTGGCACATGCAACTATCATCGCACCGTACAAAGCCTTCTCACGCGAGAAGCTCCCAGCTCGCATCGGCACCCACATTGGCCTCATGCATTGCAACGTGACGCTGACGGGTAAGTTTGCCAATCCAATCCAATTCAATCCAATCCAATCCGCCAACAAGTACGTACTTCTGCCGCGGATGAATGGGTTGTCATATTTGATTATATCGGAGACTCCGTTTGCGGTAGCCGGGCTTTAGTGTTTGGTTTTCTGCTTTTTTAAGATAGAGCTTGAATTTATTTAGTCTAAGCTGTGAGAAGGGGGTAGAGGTAGAGGTAAAGTCGTGATGAGGTTTAGAAGTCGAAAGCAGAAAAAAATAATGATTGGCTTTATTTAGAATGTCACATAAATGAATATTCATCATAGGGCTGGCAGAAAATATCGTTGCATTGTTTATTATATAAATAAATATTTAAATGTTATAGAATTTATTTATAAAAAATCGATAATTAATGTACTATGTGTCTCATATCAAAATTATATAATAATATAATCAGAAAAGGGACCAAATCAAATAAAATATTTCTTTAAAGTTGCATTACCAACTGACTAATAAATGTTTCGTATTCTACATTGGATCAATCGAAGAAGACACAGCTAAAATAATTATTTTCGAATATTTATACCCTTTGCAGGGTATTCTAATTTTAATCAAAAGCTTTTAACGCAGTGAAGGAGTCATTTCCGACCCTATAATTCATATATATTATTGATCGGAATCAACAGCCGAATCGTTCTAGCTACATATGTCAGGCAAAAATTAAATTTTTTCAAAATGTTGAAAATTTTATAAGAGGTTACATCGTTAAAATTGTCAAAAATTGATAAAAATTTTCATTATTTTAAATTGTAAATTCAGTATGCAGATTTATAAAGCTTATAAAAACGAACATAGGAATGTTTTCCGAATTAAAATTAGTGCTGTTTTGGCTGAGTTATGATTTGTTTAAATCTTGATTTTTCAATAAAATTGTGATATAAAAATATCGATTCGAAGAATGCAAATATTTTAATATCTTATCCATGTCTGTTACGATTCTATAATTAAATTGCAAACTGCAAGTAAACTTAAACTTCGTCTTTCAAAAGCTAATTTTCTCTCTCGGTTTGGATAATATCAATATTTTTCGATATTTAAAAAATTCTTATATCAAAGTTTTTTTTTTTTTTTTTTTAAATAGGATATTGAGCCTGATATATTTATCCATTTTCTTATATTTGAGTTTTTCTCTTGATGTATAATCCAAATTCAGATAAACTTTTATCGAAAACCTAATTTAAATACATGGAGCAGTGTTTCAGAAGGATTGTTAAAATTATAAAAGTCCGGGTTTAAATATGGTTATTAACTTAAATTATTATATTAAATATTAACTAAGCATAGTAGCTATTTTTTAAAATAACTATAGCTAGGATATGTGTATTTTATTAAGACTAATTAGCAAAACCACCTTTTTTGACAGAAGTTTATGACCAATAGGATATTTTTTGAAAGAAGTTTTATAAACAGATTCGAGCATTAAAGAATCTCAATCGAGATGTTAAATAATAAGTAAATTTCCCATTGCTATCCTAAACAAAAAATTCAAGTCCAAAATTTTAATTAAGATATTCCCAAACATTTGAAGTT